AAGCTCCACTCCAATCTATCACCAGGGAGCTGGTATTAGGGGCTCAAGTAGAAAGTAAATGTTTTGAGAATGATAATGGCAACAAATGTACAAATGTGCTTGACAAAATGGATGTATGTATGGATTTTGATAAGAATTATATGAGCCCCCAATAAAATGATTAAGAAAAAAAGATTTTGTAGAGGAGCTGATACCAAGAGCTCAAATAGAATATAAATGTTTAGAAAATAATGATGCCAACATATGTACAAATGTGCTTGATGCATTTAATGTAAGGACTGCTATAAGAGCTGTCAGAGCCCCCCAGTAAAAATGATTTTTTTTAAAAAATTCTATTTTTTATTCCAAAAAAAGAGAGAAAAGGTAGTGACGTAGCTTCCAGCATCACAACAACGTTCAAACTACTACTGTACAACAAATGATAGATGAGTTAAGATTAAGAAATATAATATTGGGAGTCTATATACTAGTAGGGTTATCTTTGTTTGATAACCTAAATAAAAATATGTATATATATTTATAGAACAATAACAATGTAGTATTGATATCAATGTGTTTATTTTTATGTTATTATTTTAGAGGGATTCCAGGGAAGAAATGTGGTACTATCATACTTACAGCAGAGGAATTAAATTGTTGCAGGGTAAGTACAAATTTCTTCAGTTTAAAAAGTATTACCAATGCTTCTCTTAAATGACATTTCTTTTAAAATATTTTCAAACTTAGTTTTCAGATAATTTTAGCACAAAAAAAACCAAACCCACCTGTTATATAATTCTAAAATTAACAACACCAAAAATCAGTGTAGATATTTAGCCATTTGTATAAATTCTAACCAGAGAAACTGCATTTTATGATCGAAAAAAGATAGTAGATTATTTTAGCAATATTTTTTTAAGAATAGAAATTTTAAAATTAAAAACCAATGTTAACATCCTCTTTTTTGGCATTCTGATTAAGAATTGTCAGTTGCAGTTCAGTTCTGGGACAGATTTTGAAGATTTATATGTGAATAATAAAGATAATTTGTAATTACTTAAGCGTAGCTTCTTCGTATAAAATACTCTTGCTTTTCATATTTCTAATTAAATCACGTCAGAATTTCTCTGATTCCATCTCTTGTTCACTTCAGTTAATTCCATTCGAAAGGGCCAGCTACCCCTTGAGCTAGGAATGTGACTACAGTACTAGGAGGTCATGGACTGTGTTTTCAGAAAACTGCTATTTTTAGTTGCCATTTGCTGACTCATGTTCAATGATTTGACTGTCATCAAAAACGGAGGTAGTAATCGTGATGACGCTCCACGTGAGAGGTAATGATGACTCTGAATCTACACGCCATATAGCGTGTTGTATGTGGCCCCATGGTCTTGGGGGAATTATTTCCAGGGTGATACTGTGAAGATTCCCCTAGATTACATCTCTAGGGGTCTGTCTTTTCCATGTTCTGCTTAATGATTTTAGGAACAAAGAATAGTTGAATAGTTTAATGTGTAGAATAAAAAATAATTTTGTATCAAGATCCATAATTTATTTTGTTACCTCAATTTGTAATTTTAATTTTCAGAGTTTTTCATTGGACAATTGCTGTGGATTTATATGGACAATATGACCAACACTATATTGTATTTTAATTGATTACATAATTGTATAATAGGAGGAGAAAAAAAGAGTGAAATAATGATAGAAAACAGGAACAAGCTATGGAGAGGGTTAAAATAAAGCTATTAAAGTAGCTCAGAAAGGCCTTCAAATGAACACTTCTCCAATCCTCTTTTTTCCATTATCTTTGGGGAAGCCACAGCTGTCTAGTCTCCATTGTCTTGTCTCTGACCTGCCCCAACCCTACCAGCAGTATGAATAACACTGCGAGAGATCATCAGACTGCAGTGGAGTTTTTGTTTTACTGCTAATTTGTATTTCACTTAACAAGTCTCCCCCTGAATTTTTCTTTCTATATTTATAGTTTATGGCCACATATGTACAAATAGGCTTGATACAATTGATGTATGGATTGTTATAAGAGCCCCCAATAAAATGAGCTTTTAATTTAAAAAAAAGTGGAACAGACACTAGACTATGTAGAAATTTAGCTATGATTACCTTTGACCCTACCATCACATCTGCTACTAAAATGTATACTGGAGGCATTTTATATATATATATATATATAAATAAAATTGCCTGTAAAAGGTCATGTAAATTTTTATACTCTTAATTTTTAGCTTAAATGGTACAGTGATATCTTTTAATTATTTTACCTAATAAGATTGTTTATAGTTTTTGTCCCCCTGCTTGTGTGGATGTGTGGGTGTGCATGTTTTACATACTGAGGTAAGAAAAAAGTTGTTCATGGCCAATAAGAGACACATTCTTCATGTTGACCTGAATACTTTGGTCATGATCTTGAGTTCATCCTGATGAGTCTGTGTAAATCTACCAATAAACATGTCTTATCAGTTCATTTTCAAGGTGATATTGAAAGACCAAGGGGACAGGTTGCCTACTAAATATCTTCCCTTGTATTATCTTGATTGGAAAGATGTGACAAATTCTTCTAAAGCTTTCATGTCTTTGAAATGAAAACTGGTACTTAATGACCTAGATCTCCTTCTTCCCCCTTTCTACTGTTAAAGTGCTAAGAATATTTGGATTTAATAGAAAATATATATTAAATACTCAAAAAATGTAGGTAACTTAATTTTAAT